TTGATTAAAAAACACTATATCGGATTCATATCGGTATCGGCAGATATCCAAATTTATGATATCGGTATCGGACATAAAAAAGTGGTATCGTGCCATCTCTAATATAAACCACACATTCTTCATTTCCAACCTGCCACCATCATGAGCAAGAGCACAGAGCTGTCAAAGGACGTCAGGGACCAGACTGTAGCCCTGCGCAAGGCTGGACTGGGCTGCAAGACCATCAGTCAGCCAGAAGCTTGGTGAGACGGTGACAGCTGTTGGTGCAATTATAAAATGGCCATCAGTTGGCCTCAGACTTTCCTGCCAGTTTTTAAAAGGGGTCTCGAGCAATAATTATCCAGATTTTGTGGAGGTCTTTCAAAGATTTTTTTTGGACATTGGCTGCTTTTTCACTCAAGTTTAGTCCAGTCTTTGTACCTGACCATTGTTAGAAGAATTCTGCTCGTTTTGGGTTTGTTAACCCACTTCACTAAAGTATAAAAAGGCGCCTTACTCAAGTCAACCAATGTTGTATCTACACAGACGACTTACAATTTAAATCTTAGTTCCTTGGTATCTTTAAGCACTTTGTTACAAGCAGCGCATCACAAAAACTTAAAAACAGTTTGAAAAGAGGATTTTTGCACCCAAAAAAGTGACAGCAACGAGTCTTACAACTTTCTTACAAGTTGTAAGCAATGGTTGCACTCAATTCTTAATTGTATTGCTCAGTTTCTTCCAGTCGCCAGGTTGTCAGCTATTCCGCTTTTCACCCAGTTACCTGCTGCACATGTGCAGAGAGCAACAAATGGAGACAGAATCAGTTGCCCATTGTGTTTACAGAATTAAACAATTAAATAAATCTGCCTCACATTAATCAAGCTCACTCCAGCATCCTGCTGCTGCTAAACAGTTTAAGTGGAAATGGAACAGTGAAAATATGACATCAATTGGAAGCGAGTGGACCGGACTCCACTGGAGCTAGTTTGTTTTCTGGCATGTGCACCGTCCTTCTCCTCACAGGGAGATTTAACTGGAACCAGCTGTAAGATTTGCTTTAATAGCAGAGCCCAGATCATGAACGCTGAACGTCTGCGTAGAGGAAAGTGGTCATTCAGAGCCCCGCCCACGGGTGTTTACCTGAGAAAGCCTCCTCAAAAAGCAAATACTGAATTGAACTCAATAATGGCAGCTGTTTCCAAAGAACAAACTGATAGCTAAAAGTTACGCTGAGTCATCGCTGTTTAATGTCAAGTGAGCTTGAGTCAAAACAAAGCGGGGATGAAAGTGTGTGTTCAGATATGTCAACACCCAGTGAGGCAATGGTTGTGTACAGCTGTTATAAGCAACTCATAACTAGAGTGGAAATGAAAGGCTGCACATGGACATGTTTCTGTCTAATACTAAGCTCCAGACAGTAAACCTGCTAACGACCGAAAAAGTGGTTCATTACAAAAAAAAAACCAAAAAAAAAAAGTGATATTTTTGTATTTCCTGATAAAGGGCGGCTCCTGTTACTGCTTTTAGCTTTATGTAACCTGTGCATGGATGAAAAGCAGTCAGACGCAGCTCTAAATATAAAACTCTTAACTGCCTGACAGTATCTGTACAAAGTCGTGAAGCCTCCTCTATAAATGTCGTGTCTTTAATTCCACAAAAATGGCCGACCTTTATTTCTCCTCTTTTACCGCTCAGATGGGAGTGCATCAAAGTATTTCTCCTTGACATGAAAAATATCACTATCAAGACTTCACAAATTTCCGGGGAGATTTGTCTCTTAGACATTTCGTTACAAAGAGCAGGTATTACTTTCCTTTAGATGCAGCTAAAGCAGATTTATGAGGACCGGAGCAAAACGTGGACTGAACTGCTGAATTAAGTGGAGGTGGCTCTTCTATGTTCAGCCATGCGTTTATGAAGTGGCTGTTTGGTCTCTCCGATGTAGAGGTCTGAGCATTCCTCGCCACACTGCACAGCATACACTACGATGTTAAGTTTGTGCTTAGGAGTTTTGTCTTTGGGATGAACCAGTTTTTGTCTGAGTGTGTGGCTGGGTCTGAAGTACACGGGGATGTCGTGATTGGAGAAGACTCTCCTGAGTTTCTCTGATAAATCTGGTACATAGAGGATGACAGTATTATTCTGATTGTCTCTCTGACTCTCCGCTAGCTGGTGGTGTATCCGGTCATTAAGTGATGACGTGACGAATCCTACTTCCGGGCCTAAAGTAGCCTGTGTTTAATATGGCTTTTGTGTTGTTAACATGTTTAATGTTATGCATTTTCTTCTATTTGATCTCAAAAAGCTCCTAAAACAGTCAGTGATCACTGTTGACCTCCCTCGGCTTTTATTACCGCTAATCATTTATTTAAGCTCAGTTTTTAAAACCTTAGGATGTAACTACAGCCCAGCCCATGCAGCAGTATATGAATGACTAACCTCGTATTGTGGATGGATTATCTCAGTTGTTCTCCTGGCTGAAGTTTGGTCCTTTTACAGCATCCTGCCATGCGATTACATTTGTTTCTGACCACCGAGAACACTCACGTTAACTTTTATCGAGTGGAAAAAAAGTTAGCTTGTTTATATTATGCTAACATAGCTGTGTCGCTAGAGGTCACGTAGCACATCATTATATACCAGCTAGCCCAACTTCAGTAACCCTACAAACGTCACTGCTGTTTAGTTTTCTGTCTTCATTGATGTTGGAAGTGATAACAGAGCTGTACGTTTGAATTTGTTTCCAAAACCCTGCAGTCAGGACATGCTATATTGTATTTAGATAGAAGCTAGCGAGCTAACTTCCTGCTAACTTCTAACTCCGTTAAATGTCATAAATTCAGTTTTCATGGATGCCTGGATGTTAAACTCAATTGTTACACCTGGTAGAGCAGAACGCTGATCATTTTAAAGACTTTAGACAGTTTTTCAACTCTCAGTAATGCCATAGTGATCGTTTGATATATGGACCTGCAGCGGAGTTTAGGAGGACTGAATTTCCACAGCTAGAAGATTATTATTAAATATTAAAAATGAGACCCTGTTTGTCATTAAAGACTCGGCCTATCCTGTCTGGTTATATGTGCTCTCTTTCATTCAAACATAGAACGTTCCAGAAACACAAAGAATCATAAAATCACAAAATGACTATTTATCATGACCTTTGCCAAGTTTGTTAAAATAACCCCGAGTAATCCTGGAATAAATCCTTACAAATAAATATTTAAAGTGCACATGACATTAGACTGACCTGATCGCCATCGTACAGCGTCTGTAGAGGACTCCTCCTCGACTTCTGTCTGCTGCCGCTTTCACCCACCGCCTCTGAGGCTGAGGAAAAAGCACATCGGTTATGGAGCAGTCACCGCTGAATTATCACTAATAATGCTTTTGTGAATGTGTGTCATCACGCCCAAATGTGGTCCTGGTGACCCTGACTGTGGTAGTTTGGCTGGTGTTCATATTTCTGTGGACACATTCTAAAGAAAATATGCACGAAACATTTGCAAACTGTCAACATGAGGCGAGTTAGAAGGCAGACGGTGTCCATCCCATGATTACCAATCAGTCGCTGACTTCGCGCTTTTATTGAAGTTTAGCATGCTGCAGCCTGAAGGGGCGTGAGCTTACTGCAGGGTTTCAGGGAGGAACAAAGGCCGAGGATAAAGAGGTGCAGCGCAATTATTTTATTTGATCATTCACTGAATTACTGAATGCCAAAATTATAATTAGCCAAATATCCTCAAGCAAGATACTGAACCCAAGCAGTACACAAGAATCAGCTCATTTACTATTTAACTACTACTGTTGGTGTTAACTACCATTATCATAAATAATAATACAGTGTGGTGTATCATTAGACAGATAAAACAGTGCACTGTAGAACATTAACACAAACTGAGCACAAAAACGTTGCACTGAAACAATAAAGTAAACTTTCATGGTTTGTTATCGCTGCTTTTATTTGCTCGAGTGCTTTAGAAACGGAACATAAGAGTTTTGGCCGGGCAGAACATTTCATTTTCCACGTTATGTCAGACTCAAGTTTGAAAGGAAGGATAAAAGGACCTTATTTATGTCCTTTGGCTTAGAGCCATTATTTGTTTCCTTCCAGATATTGGACATGTATAGAGTTTTACCACATGATCCTCAGATTTAATCTGGGTAAAGGTAGTCGATCTGTTCCTCCTAAAAGCTGCAGGCCTTCGTTGGAGAAAAAAAAAAAAAAAAAGAAAGATGCAAAGGCGTGCGGCCTGGTTTGGAAAGGCAGTGGTTGCTTCACTCCAACTCAAACAGTTTCATCATAGTTAGAAAAATGAAAACGAGCTCTCAGAACAACATCTACCATCACGTATTCTGCACTCCAACCTGCCTGCAGTGAAAGCAGAGATGAGCACCACGCTGCTGAACCATGACTCACTGACACAACAGGGAGCAGCAGGACTCCAAGACACTGCGAACATCCCCACAGGAGCACAGCTTATTTGATTTACAGAACAAGCTCATCACATCGAACACTTTCCGGCCACAGATGTAAGGTTACAATCAACACTCACGAGACTGAGTTACTGAGAGAGACACTTCCATCTGATCTGCATGTTGTGGACGTAGTCACTTCATATAAAAGCCATATCTTCACTCCATCTGCAGCGTAGTGTGGAGGTTATTTGTTTTTTCCTCAGAGATAAACACAGATAGCCCCGCTTCATCAGATGTTCTTTTATGAAAAACGCACACTCCCTAAATGAAACGCAGATGTATTCTGGTGTGTTTAGCCAGTAAGTGTTAGCTTGAAGATAAAACTGCAATCTGTCACCTTCTTCAGATGAGATGAGTCATTTTAGTGTTTTAAATTATGAAGTTAGCCAGGAGGCACTTCGTTAGAGCAGCGGTCCCCAACCTTTTTTGCGCCACGGACCGGTTTATACCCGACAATATTTTCACGGACCGGCCTTTAAGGTGTCGCGGATAAATACAACAAAATAAAACTAGTACTGGTACCGAAAAAAAAGAAGATTTATTCATAACACATGTGAAAAGACCCAGGAAAACCGAGTTAACGATAAAAACGATAACAAAATAACGCTGAAAACTGATAAAAACCATACATTTCACACCCGAGCCTCACCTCTCGCGACCCAGTACCAAACGACTCACGGACCGGTAGCGGTCCGTGGCCCGGGGTTTGGGGACCGCTGCGTTAGAAGACTGGGAAAAGAAACAGCTAGCGTGGCTCTGTCCAAAGATCAGGCAATCTGAAGCTGCTGTGAAAAGCTCACAGAATAAGTCCTCATGCTGCTGATTCAGTTCAGCTGAAGAGGGTTAGGTTTCCAGTATCTCGCCGAACTCAGACCACCTGGTGCAGTGTAGTTTCGGTGACATCGGTGCCTCTTTCTGGAAAATCCAGCATTGAACCAACTTTGCTTTTAGCGTGCGTGTCGATTCCAGGAAGAATAATCCCTGCAATTAGTGATCCCTTTCTACACAAGTTAGACCTTGCTTCAATTCATGAACTTCCCAGTATGTTTGACGATTCAAGTACACACACACGCACACACAAAATTTCCATATTTTCACTAACAAATGTTCACCCCTTGCTGCTCAGGAGTTTCAAGCGATACAGGCAATAATCCACTGAAACTCATTCAGAAAACTCCATAAATGTTCTTCTGTATTGCTGCCATTTAAATAACCACAATGTGAAGAAAAATATCACATTAACTGTTTAATGATTACATCCATTTTCACAAACTCCCCCAGTTTTAGAGGCCCTTATATATTCACTGACAAGCAGTCCAACAGCCAGGTTCCCTCATTATCGACAGCAAACTAAGCAGATAAAAGTCGTACTTGAACTTGTTTCAAGTGTTACACAGAAGCAGTTCACTGGACCACTATGAGGTCCAAAGAGGCTCAGGTTCAGACAAATGCTCCTAAACTGTTCAGACAGTGTATAACAATGCAAACGGATCATAACCCAAATCTCAGGGCAAAGAACAGAGTTGGTCACCTAACATCAGCCCAGCATGCTTTTCACTTACTGAGACCAAAAGTGAACAGCAAACCTCAAAGAAGGAAGCATGTGATGATGTCCACAAGTGCTGGACTGCAGGGATACCCGTCACTTTCAACAAATGAAAAAGGGGGATTATTTATAAAGTTCGGAATGAATAAAGTCTGTCCCTTCAATTAACATCTTCATCATTTGATTTAAAAAAAAAAAAAAAAAAAAAATCCACTTTAGGATTTGGTTCTTTTGTCTTGAAGCCACTGGCTCATGGCTAAACTCAAGTTTAAACACATAACTTCCTGTTAGAGACGTGCTCTTCACAGCGCATCAACAATGAAATGACATCAGTTTGCTCACAGAGACAAGGCCGGGCTGCTTTTCCCTGGAGTAAACATCTGTAAGCAGCTGTGTGGCTGCAAGTCCAGATTGAGTAGTGCAACTCAGCACTAACTGCCCATTGAACAAATGACTTCCTGTGCTGTGCCATTATTCAAATGGCAGTATGCACAAACGCCTTATGTACAAGTCTGCCTTTTATGCAGTCATTACGCTCCAAACTTGCACGAACAGCAACATTTGTCATCTGGAGACAATTAGATTTACAAAAGCTCAGGATTTGTCACTAATTAGCTGCTTTAATTGGAGACAATGATGCTGTAATGGTGGAAAATGAACTGCACAGGCCCAACACTATTGAGCACAGGCTACTGTGAGACTCAAGTGACCACATGTGTGCACCTCTCTCCTCCCTGTGGTGTGGTCAGGTCACTCATGGCAAACTGGTTATGAGCTGTAAACACGCTCACTGCAGGCAGCGCAGCATGCAGTAATGAGCATACTACACAGAATCATTGAGAATACCTGCGAGAGACACATAGTCAATCATACAAGTGAAATCACAGGTCTTTACTAGCTTCTAATAGCAGGTGAGAGTAACTAGAGAAATGCTGAAGCTGTGCAACAGTATTGTATAAAGATCATATATCAGTGCCCATCTTATTTCAGACACTTTCATTTATACACTTGCATTCCAACATGCACACTCCATCCCCATGTACTTATTAACATAATGTATGAATCTGGTCAGCGTAGCGTTGTCTATAGCAAGCATGCCAGGTGCAGTTACTGATAAGGAGGACTGCAACAGTAGACCGTGACTGTTGCATCAGCCGCCTCATTTTGCAAGCTTTTACAACTGGCCAACATTCTCACCACACATTAAGGCTGCACAGTTAATGGAATTTTAATCTTGATTTTAGCTTCCCACAGTTAAATGAACACGATCACATAATATTTAAAATATGTGCTCAGCCAATAGAATGCAAAGCAAAAAGCAAATCAGGAGCTCCGACTGCATGCCAGCATGTGACAGTCACAGGCGTTCTGAAGTGTCCTGGACCAGTAAGACTACGTTCAAAGATGTACAACAGAATTCAAATGTCTGCCACACTCATGCCTCGAAGTGGATCATCATCATCCATTTTTCAGAAATACTCTTAAGCAATCAGCTGGCTGAAAAACCACCAAAAACTGCAGTTCTAAATAAAACTCTGCCAAAACAAACAAACAAACAAACAAAACCAAAAAAAACCAAAAAAAAAAAACATGGCTGCTGACGTGAACTGTCCAACATCAGCTCCATAAAAGTCCATTAAAGCGAGCATGCATACTGTGCATGAGCACTCACAAAGGTGCACTGACGTCACCAACATCTTTGCCAAAGATTCACTCAAACCAAGTGAATGAACACCAATACTGACTAACAAGTGATCAAAATGATCACTTTGACCATAATCGTTCAGCCCTACCACAGATATAGCACTAAATGTTAATGTTCAGTTCAATAAAAATATAAGCTGCTCAGTGTTAGCTTGCACTGGCTTCTACCCAGATAGCAACCATTAAAACAGTTTACAGTGTTTCCCACTTAACTTGAATGCACCCAATTTAGAGGCAAAATTCCCAGTCTGGCTGCAACTAAAGTTATTCAGGACCAATTTATAAAAGCTAAAAAAGGGATGCATTGCATTTCGTTCTTTTGCACTCTCTCTTAAAATACTGTGTGGAATGACCCATGGAACTTAAACAAAGCAGCCATTTCCCCAAAACACCTAAAAATTTACTGATTTACTGATAAGCAGGATTTCAACAGTTGAACATGACTGTTGTGTTAGCGTCACATTTTACAATCGTTTACACCTTGACTTACACTTTGACCACATGTGACAATTTATCACTCAAACACAAATAACCACTACAACCCCATATAAAGCCAGTGCCTGACACACACTACATTCAGTTAGCTAGCATTGGTACTGCT